TGAAATTCTTGCAAATGTTGAAAGCGAATGTTCGCGGCGCTGAGGCGAGAGCCACACTTTGAAAACGACCCACCCTCAATCCGTGAAGCTCTTGCAAATATTATTATACGAATACATATTCTATATATTCATATATACATACGACCACACTGCGGGTGATAAAGAGGTTCGGGGGGGGAGGAACCAACGTCTCATTCGACCGGTCCCACTATCGATCTCACTATCGATATCACTATCGGTCTCGGTCGGTCGACCTCACTCGATCGATCTCACAATCGATCCCACTCGATCTATTTCATTCGATCAATATCACAATCGATCTGACTATCGATCTCGCAATCGATCTCACAATCGGTATCGCATTCGATCTCGCATTCGGTCTCACGATCGATACCACACTCGTTATCACAATCAACGTCATCATCCTCATCATCAACATCATCGTCATCAGAGCCATCATCATCACCAGGACGCCATCATCATCACCATCTCATCACCATCATCAGCAACATCATCACCACCAGTATCATCATCATCATCACCTTGGGGACGCCATTTCGTCATCATCGTCATCATCATCATTTCAACATCACCATCAACATCATCATCATCATCATCATCATCGTCATCATCATCATCGGGACACCAGCAACATCATCATCATCGGAACACCACCACCATCGTCAGCATAAACATCATCATATCGTCCAAATGAACAATATCATCAACATGATCCTCGTCATCATCGTGACACCATCATGATCATCAGCAACACCATCATCACCACCAACATCATCACCATCGGGACGCCATCGTCATCGACACCATCATCATCACCATCATCATCGGGACCCCATCATCATCATCAACATCATCATCGTCACACTCATCGGGCCAACATCACCAATATTATCATTACCACCCACCACCATCCTCATCATCAGCATCATTATCACCATCGGGACACCACCATCGTCAGCATCATCAACATCATCATCTTCATCATCAACATCGGGACACCATCACCATCATCACCAGGTCATCAACCGCATCATCATCAACCTCATCATCACTATCATCATCGGGACACCATCATCATATTCATCATCATCGTCTCATCATCACCATACCATCGTCATCGAATTGCCATCATCAGCATCACTTTCATCAACACCATCATCATCATGACACCATCACCATCACCAGCAACATCATCATCATCATCATCATCACCATCGGGACACCAGCATCATCCTCAACATCATCAGCATCACATTCATCGGGCCAGCATCACCAAAATCATCATTACCAGCTCAGCATCATCGTCATCACCAACATCATTATCATCATCGGGGCACCATCATCGTGATCATCATCAACATAATCACCATCAACATCATCATCATCATCATCATCATCATCATCATCGGGACACCACCATCATCATCAACAGCATCATCAACAGCATCATCATGAACCTCATCATCACCACCATCATCGGGACACCATCATCGTCATTTTCATCATCGTCCCACCATCATATCATCGTCATCTAATTATTATCATCATCATCAGTTTCATCAACATCATCATCATCATGACACCATCACCATCACCAGCAACATCATCATCAACATTATCATCATTATCGGGGCACCAACATCATCACCACCATCACTATCATCATCATCAACGTCGTCGCCATCATCATCATCATCATCATCATCATCATCATTATCATCATCATCGGGACACCATCATCATCACCACCATCACCATCATCATCATCAACATCAGAGACATCATCATCATCACCATCATCATCAGGACACCGACGGGACACCGGCGGGACACCGCGCGCCACCGGACGCCGGAAGGGAGTCATTTGGTCCGGCCGCGCCTCAGCCACAGCGGGACACCGGCGGGACACCGCGCGCCACCGGGCGCCAGAACGGAGACTTTTGGTCCGGCCGCGCCTCAGCCACAGGAGACTTTCATCTCGCCCGCCCACGCAGCTTCGCCTCGCCCGCGCGCACGGCACGCACGAACACGAAACCGAAACCGATGTCCCTGTAGGGGGCTCTCCGTTCCACTTCGATCTCACCCCCTCACCTCCGATAAACGAATGCGCGCGGCGCTGAGGCAAGAACCACACTTTGAAAACGACCCGCCCTCAATCTGTGAAACTCTTCCAAATTTCAAACAAAAAACGAATGCGCACGGGGCTAAGGCGAGAGCCACATTTTGAAAACGACCCACTCTCAATCCGTGAAGCCTGGGCAAATTTCTAATTACCCTGCGACGTACCCAACCCTTTCTATACATGTGGTGGTTACATTCGGGACCACTCAATGCTGGCGGGCATGCTGAACAAAAACCGCAGTGAAGGGAAAACAACACCCATCAGTGAATTCAGAAGAGCGCAGCAAGGAGAGCAGCGGCAACGCGTAAGACGTACCTCTGCTGGGCCTCCCTGGAGCCCACGAAAGCGGCGACAGTTGCGCAGATCGCAGCCCCCCAGGGCGCCGCGAGGTCCCGAGGTGGTCCGCCTGGGACGTACTTCCGCTGAGCCTCCCAGGAGCCCACGAACATGGCGACGGTTGCGCAGATCGCAGCCCCCCAGAGGGCGGCGCGAGGTCTCGAGGTGGTCCGCGTGGGACGTACTTCCGCTGGGCCTCCCAGGAGCCCACGAAAGAGGCGACAGTTGCGCAGATCGCAAGCCCCCCAGGGCACCGCGAGGTGTCGAGGTGGTCCGCGTGGGACGTACCTCCGCTGGGCCTCCCAGGAGCCCACGAAAGCGGCGACAGTTGCGCAGATCGCAAGCCCCCCAGGGGGCGGCGAGGTCCCGAGGTGGTCCGCGTGGGACGTACCTCCGCTGGGCCTCCCAGGAGCCCATGAAAGTGGCGACAGTTGCGCAGATCGCAGCCCCCCAGGGCGCCGCGAGGTCTCGAGGTGGTCCACGTGGGACGTACTTCAGTTGCGCAGATCGCAGCCCCCCAGGGAGCGGCGAGGTCCCGAGGTGGTCCGCGTGGGACGCACCTCCGCTGTGCCTCTCAGGAACCCATGAAAGTGGCGACAGTTGCGCAGATCGCAAGCCCCCCAGGGGGCGGCGAGGTCCCGAGGTGGTCCGCGCGGGACGTACTTTCGCCGGGCCTCCCAGGAGCCCACGAAAGCGGCGACAGTTGCGCAGATCGCAAGCCCCGCGGGGGGCGGCGAGGTCCCGAGGTGGTCCGCGTGGGACGTGCCTGCCTCCCAGGAGCCCACGAAAGTGGCGACGGTTGCGCAGATCGCAAGCCCCCCAGGGGACGGCGAGGTCCCGAGGTGGTCCGCGTGGGACGTACCTCCGCTGGGCCTCCCAGGAGCCCACGAAAGCGGCGACGGTTGCGCAGATCGCAAGCCCCCCAGGGGGCGGCGAGGTCCCGAGGTGGTCCGCGTGGGACGTACCTCCGCTGGGCCTCCCAGGAGCCCACGAAAGCGGCGACAGTTGCGCAGATCGCAAGCCCCCCAGAGGGCGGCGAGGTCCCGAGGTGGTCCGCGTGGGACGTATCTCCGCTGGGCCTCCCAGGAGCCCACGAAAGTGGCGACAATTGCGCAGATCGCAGACGGCACGAGAGAAGAGGAGAAGGGAACACAGGAAACTTGAGAGAAGGAGGAGGGGAGGAGAGGGGAGGAGGAGGAGGACGGGGCGACCACACTGCTCTATTCAAAACGAATACTCAACCATAGGAGGGTTGGGAAAAACGAATGTGCGCGGCGCTGACGCGAGAGCCATATTATGACAGCGGCCCGCCCTTGATATGTGAAAATGCTGCCGCGTCTTAAGCTTCAGAATCATAAATGGTGAGGAAATCTCAGGCGAAACGCCCAGTCCGCCCAAATTATCCCAGCGCGACCCTACCTAGGAGTTGGAGCATCTAGGAAAGCAACATCTACATCTACACCGACAGCTACATTAACATCTACACATGCATCTACATCGACATCAACATCAACAGCGATACTCACATCTACATCTACATCTACACCTACATACACACCTACATCTACATCTACGTCTACACCTACATCCACATCTACACCTACATCTACATCTACATCTACACGTTCGCATTGGTTGTGTGTTTGCTTTGCATTGCCTTGTCTTTGCGGTTGCTGTCGCGTTTGCTGTTGCGGTTGCGTTGCTGTTGTTGTTGCGCTTGCGTTTGCTTGATGTTGTTTGTTGCGTTGCCTGCGCACAAACACACACACACGCATGTTTTCGCATTCGCTCACCGGCTATGCTGCGCTATGCTATGCTATGCTATGATATGCTGCGTTATGCTATGCTATGCTATGATATGCTATGCTATGATATGCTATGCTATGCTATGATATGCTGCGCCGTGCTACGCTAAGCTAAGCTATGATATGCTATGATATGCTATGCTGCGCTATGCTATGCTATGCTATGTTATGATGCGCCATGGTATGCTGCGCTATGTTATGATATGCAATGCTAGGTTGTGCTATGATATGCTATGCTATGCTAATGATGCGTTAAGCTAAGATCAGCTAAGCTAAGCTAAGCTGACCTAAGCTAAGCCAAGCTAAGCTAAGCAATGCTGACTTAAGCTAGGCTAGGCTAAGCTAAGCCAAGCTAAGCTAAGTTAAGCTAGGCTAAGCTAAGATGTGATAAGCAACCCTAGGCTAAGGGGACGCAACTGGGGGAACCGCGGGGCGGATGCCAGGGTAACCGCCCGGGGCGTGTTCCACTGCCCGGCCCCTTTAAGCTAAGACAGTAAGAACCCTTCTAGGCAGAGCCTGGGTAGGGAAAAACTGGCCTCGGGGTGCGACAGGGAGAAGTCATCTATAAGGAAAAGTAATGGAGGAGGAGGGGGATGGGGGAGGCGGAGGAGGAGAAGGAAAAGGAGGATGAGAAGGAGGAGGGGAGGAGGAGGGGGAGGGGGAGGGGGGGCCAGGCGGGCGGGGGCGTCGAGAGGAGCGGGGGGCGGCGGGGCGGCCTCCAGCGCCCGCTCGCGGTCTGCGAGCTCGGCCTGGCGGCGGTCGATCTCCTGCCTCTCCTGGGGGGGCGCGGGCGGGGGGGGGGGAGGCCCTGCTCCCCCTCCTCCGGAGAGGGGGGGGGGCGATCCCATGCCCCGTCTTGCGGTTTGCTGACTTGGGGCATCGGAGGGGTGCCCTCGTCGCCACGGCTGCGTTCGTCCAGAACTCCTCGCCAGAACGCGCTCCACAAAAACTCGGAGGGGGCACCTGGAGGGGGAGGGGGAGGGAGAACGGCAACTATGCAACCACATCGACTCTGACCAAGCCAGTATCGGCGGATACACCTTAATGACTTCACCAGGGAGGTACGTGCACCGATTCTACGCCCAGGACTGGCCTGGCCAGAACGGATGTAGGTGAACACATGCTGCCATGTCATATGGGGCGATCGTGGAGGGTGTAAGGGGAGATGGAGGAGAGAGGGGGGCACTGGAAAGGAGAGGTGGGATCAGGGAAGGGAGGGGAGAGAGAGAGAGAGAGACAAACAAAAAAGACGGAGGGACGGACAGAGCCAGGGGGGGAGGGCGAACAGTTAGATGGAAAAGGGAAGGAGGAAACATGTAGCACGAATTGACCTGGGTACAAAGACCCGCGTCCGGAATAGAGAGCAGTGCCACACAGCAAGGAAAGAGGCGGCATCAGCCAGCATCGCGGCAGCAGCGCGCATCGAGTGGCCAAGCCCTTGCTATCGAAGCGGCGCATGCGTACACGAGCGCGGCACTCGGAGGCAAAAGCAGATTCTGGCCCAACTCGTCGGCCTTCCTGGGCGTGACAGCCAGCGCCCTGAGCGGAAAGGAGGGAGGGGAACAGGGGGGGAAAGAGGGGAACAGAGGCACGGGAAAGGGCGGCGAGAGACGCAGGCGAGGGAAAGAGATGGGTACCCCACCTCGGGCACGAGACGAGAAGGAAGAGCCTCACTGACAGAGAGCAGCAGGCAACACCGCCATCGTCCGCATCGTAGACCAGGCATATCCCTTCCACGTTGCCCGCCCTCAGCCCCCCGTCGACCCGATCCCACTCCACTGGCCGAGGCCTGTCTCACGGGGGAGGGCGCAGAAGGTCGGAGAGCGAAGGATGGGAGGAACAGGCGCCACAGGAGGCGCGTCGGCCACGAACAATTCGGACTAAGATTCAGACGCAATCTGCCACCGTGCCATGTGCGCGTTGAGGCGTGGAAGAATGCCAAGGTCTGTCTGGCCGGCTGTCTGTTATTTTCTAAAGCCCCCCCCTCCCTCTATTGTTGGCGCCCAGTGGCGCGCGTCGCCTTCTCTTCCCGAGGCAACAACCCCGAGCAACATTAAACAGTTTCGCGCCCCCGAGGCCCAGATGCCTCCAAGACGGCACAATCTCCTCCCAAGACGGGCCACGTTGGACAAAGACGGCCCCGGAGGGCTTCCAGACGACCCATGAGGCCGCCGAGGCGTCCCAAGAACGCACCGAGAGCCTTCCAAAAGGGGCCTCGAGAAGGCACCCGAGGCCCAGATGCATCCAAAACGGCACAATATCCTTGCAAGACGGGCCACGTTGGACTCAAGACGGCCCCGGAGGGCTTCAAGACGGCCCACAAGGCCGCCGAGGCGTCCCAAGAATGCCCCGAGAGCCTTCCAAAAAGGGCCTCGGGAGGCACACATCATTGACTTGCTTTCGATGCTTCACCCATGTATCAAACTGCGCGGCAAAAACCTACATGATACCCACCGTTCGCATCACCTCGTTCAGCCATTGAGACTCCTCCCCGATCCCGGTGAAACAAGCGTTTCCAGCGTGTATTAGCGCCTGCAGGCGCCCACTGGCGACTACCAGCGCCGCTAGCGCCCAATAGCACCTGCTAGCGACTACTGGCACACTGGCGCGTACAATCGCCGGTTCCCACCCCCAAGCGCCACCTAGCACCTGCATGTCATATGGCCTGCCACTATGTTCACGTGTTGTCTTTGCCACGTCTCCCAGAACACCGGATGGGCTACTGGTCCCATTTGCATGCGATAACGAAGGTACGGCAGGTTCGTGCCGTGTCGACCTGGGCGTTGATTCCTGAAGCCGCGGGGATCGTTCAACCTTGAACGATCGGCCCTTTCCGCAACGTCCGATCGTTCAACATCGACCGATTCTGGGGGGCCGCCGGCGTTCAACGTTGAACGCCAGCGTCGGGGTCGCCGCCGGTCGGCACGACGCGAACCTGTTGTAACACACACACACACACATCCATGCAATAAACGCAATAACACTGCCGCCCGCGTGCCGTGCCGCACCCGCGTGCCATGCCGTGCTGCGCCGTGCCGTGCCCGCGTGCCGTGCCGCGCTCGTGCCTACAGCTCCGAAGACGGAATACCTGCCAGCCGCACGCCGTGCCGTGCCCGCATGCTGTGCCGTGCTGTGCACGTCGTACCTGAATATTTTGCGTCGGCGGCTACGCAGGGTAATTAGGGTAACGAAGAACGACATAAACATAAGAACTTGGAGGTCCGCGCGGACTTCTCGGATCCACGCTGGACCCCCCTCACTGGCGCGCGAAGCGCGCCAGGGGCGGCGCGGAGGCGCCGCCAGGGGGGTCCAGCGCGGATCCGAGAAATCCGCGCGGACCTCCGAGTTTTCATATTTATGCCATTCTTCGTTTCCCTAGTAAATGCGCTGGCGGAGGGCAACCTCAACGGGGGCGCCGTTGTAGCGAACTGTGCCACCAGGCAGGAGGAGGGGGAAAAGCAGAGGCCGTCGCACCTGAAACAGCAGCACGTGAACAAAATGCTGCCCGCGTGCCGTGCCGTGCTTTCGTGTCGAAATCTGAAACACGAAGCCATGCCGGCCGTGTGGCGTGCCACGCGGTGCCGTGCCAGCGTGCCGTGCCATGCGCGTCGGGCCCCCAAACCCACCTTCGCAGCGAATTGCGGCCCGCGGGCCGCGGGCCGTGTCGTGCCGTGCCCGCGTCGCGTGCCGTGACGTGCGCGTCGCGCCTGCAAGTCCGAAAAAAAAGCGAGACAAATGCAACCCACGTGCCGCGCTGTGCCGCGCCATGCCAGCAAACGGGGCCGTGCGCGTCGTGCCTAACACCGAAAATGCAAAAAACAAAAAAAAACAAAAAGCCAGACGCGTGCCGTGCCGCGCCGTGCGCGTCATGCCTAAAGCCCCTAACGCTTCAATTACCGTCCGCGTGCACTGCTGCGGCGTGCGAGCAAAAAATGGCGCCCGCGTGCGGTGACGTGCCGTGCCGCGCCCGCATGCCGTGCCGTGCGCGTCGCGCTTAAAACCTATCATGCTCGAAATTGCCGCCCGCGTGCGGTGCCGTGGCGTGCAAAACAATTGCCGCCCGCGTGCAAGGAGGTGCCGTGCCGTGCCCCCGTGTCGTGCTGTGCGCGTGCGTGTGTGCGTGCCTAGCTTTCAGACATCATGCGTCGTCTCATGCAGCCTTACAGCTTCGGGTCCATATGCTGGGGCGGTATGTGCATGGTCGCTCGGGTCCTTAAAATAATTGTAATTCCTCGGGGCTCCTTCGGAGTCCAGCGGGGATCATTGCAAGAGCCTAGGACCAGTTATAGTTCTATCATTTCTGTGCACAAAGGCTCCTTGCGAGTCCATTCTATATGATGCACACACAACATCCACATCCGATGACGAAAATTGGCTCGCCTTGCCTACACAAAGCGATATCGCCCAGAACTCTTCTCCTCTGAGTCAGCTTGCCCGTAGACGTCCTAGTTCATTGCGCAGAGAAATTGACCATGGCAACAGCTCGCCCCTGCAAGTTTGACCTTCGCACGACAGTGAACGCTGAGTACGAGGAGGGAGGAGGCAGAGGAGCGCACATCCCCAGGGACAAAATTCGTCAGCCGCCTGCTCGTTGCACCTGCCGGAAGCGGTCATCCCGCCTGGCCGAGGCTCGCAAGCGCGCCTTGGCAAACCTGAGACTCAATGGAGACCAGTCCACAAGAAACCTTCCACCAGAAACCCAACCCTGAGACCCCAGGACGTCCATTGGTTTTCGGTGTGGGAGCGTCACGCTTTCCACAGCAAAACCATTGAACCCAAGAAGCCCAGGGCACCCTGGAGGCAAGCAGGGTGTTTCTTGGCATGGGCCTCCGCTGTAATTAGCCTGCTCCCCTCGCACGCCACGCCAAGTGTGGATGGTGCTGGAAAGGGGGGCCGAAAAGGAGGAAGAGGAGTGCGAGGAGGAGCGGGCCGCCGCCCGCCCCAACACCAGCGCATGGCGACGCCTTGCTGAGCTCGTCGCGCTGCTCAGAGATGTCCAGCTTGAGGGCCTGAGCGCTGGGGCCCAGAGGCCCTTTGGGGGGCCTGTCGCAGTGCTGGCCCCGATGGCGACAGCGCGTGGCAGGCCTCCTCCTCCTCCTCCTTCTCCCACTCATCCTCCCCCACCTCCTCTTTCTCGTGGTTCTCCTCCTCCTCCTCCTCCTCCTCCTCCTCCTCCTCTGGCTTCTCATCCTCATGCGTCCCCTCACTTTACATCCTCCTCCTCCTCCTCATCCTTCTACTTCTCCTCCCAGGCCCGGCCACAGCCACTGCCCGTTTAGTGCCGGAGGGGGTGGGACAAATCTGGCCCCTCGTCAACGTTTTAATACTTGTTGGGCCGTCTGGGGCCTCTGGAGGCCTTCGAAGACGTCAGGAAAAGACCCATGCTTCTGGAGACCCCGGGGAGATTTAGGAGATCTCCATAGACCATCGACTTCAACTACGAAAACTGTGGAACAAAAAACACGGCGAAGGCTCTTACCCCGTGTCGAGCCCCTAGACCCTCACGGATCGACCGAATTCGGAAAACCAAGAGGTGGAATCGCGAGCTCTGGCCGCGATCTGTTTCAAACACCTGTTGACTTTTTCACACCGTCGGATCTCTGGGAAGCAGGACGAAAACCCGCTCCTGGCTCCTAGCCGTCCTGTCCTCCAGCGCCGCCACCCAGTGAGCCTTACTAGATGCAGCCCTCGGGCGCGGATGGCCCATCATCAGGTCCACCCTTCCCGAAACCCATCAGTTCATCATTTGAGGGTGGCTCCCCTCTCAGCCAGGAGCTCAAGGTTTTTTGTTTGAAACCACATAACGCGCGTTAGTGGCTGGGTGGGTGGGTGGGTTCACTGGCACATAACATAACACAGTCGTGTCCTGCCGCTCGATTTGTTCTGAAAGCACTGTCCCTGTTGCTACCCGTGGTGCTGATGTAGCGAAATGGCCTTGCCTCTGCGATCGCCACAAGGCGCGTTGACACCGCAATGCCCGCTCTCACCACGCATGCTGGTGCAGCAACCTACGCATGCACCAAATCGCCTGCGTACATCACACTGGCTGGGTGCATGATGGTGCTCCTGTGCACCACAGCGCCTGTGTACATAACTGCGAACGCACACGCCACAACGCGTTTGCACAACACGACTGCGGCCACACAGGCACGTCCCGCGTGCACCACGGCACCCGTGTACAACACGATCCGCGTGCACACCGCAGCAACCCTGCGCAGAGCGACGACTGGCGCCCGCGTGCACCACACTGTACATCTACACCACGGAGCCCGCGTACACTTCGAGGGTCCCGACGAAGCCCATAAACCGAAGCTCGTGTTCGTGGGGGGGGGAGGGGGGCACGAACGTATCAAAGTGAATGTGCCAGTTTGGTGTGGTTATTGTTTTCGGGCCGCCTGGATACCATTCGGGCAAGTTGTTCGAACTGCGTGCGGCCGCGACGACGAAGATCCCCCCAAAAGGGGGAGGACCCTTGGCGCCTCGAGCTCACTTGCGCCGCAGTTTCGTCCGAGTAGGCCCTGGCCCAACAGGCCCCCAAGAGGTCTCCGACGCGGCTCACGACGGCCCCCACACGGCTAGAAAAACGGCAAAGACTGCCCAAGCAATGCCAGAGGCGCACAACGGCAGTGCCGGAGGCGCACAACGGGGGGACGGGGCGCCCCGGGGGAAGCGTTACTTTATGGGGGGGTAGGAGGGGGGAAGGGCCTGAGGACGCACTCACTCCGCGCACCTCGATTCACATGCGCATGGTGGCGAAATGACCAGAAACATAACTAAAGCGGCAGTATCCGTGCAATCGTTGGTGGATGTTCGATAGCATTCATCTTGCAAAACACACACAATTAACACACTATCTTGATCCCTGGAGCTTCTTTTTGACCAAAATCCATATGCGATTTTCGATGCTGTGAGGACTGAAGATGAACTGCTCGTCCTGGGCATCGGGACTATGCAAAAGCCGCGAATGCAGAAGTCCCTGGTATGTCCAGGCAAGCTTTGCATTTCAAACCCTGTGGAGTACGCTGATCTACGGGGGATGGCGGGTGTCTGTTGCACTGCAGGCTTGGCTTTAGATCAGGCGCTCGCAGCAATACCTCACTTCAAAATCGCACCGCACAACTACATACTACCTAAAACGTTTGACCATCTCGGCGGCCACCGACATGACACGTTCCTGAATGCGCCAAGCCGGCTTATCCGCTTCTCACGCTTGGATGCAACGGCAAGCTCCTGGACTGGCTTCCGACGCCGCGGGGTCGGCCAGCCTATCCACCTGGTTATTCGCACACCTGGCTATTCGCAGAGAAGTGTCCGGCCGAGAATTTCGCGCTTCGCGCTGCCACAAGCTTACCGAATTCCTTCCGCTGGTATACACTGCTGCTGCACATCTGGGTAGGGCTCCGTTACTTGGCCACAACAATCATTCCCTGGGGAACGCGCAAGGCCTCCAGACGACCAAAAACGGCGCCAAGGAGGCTCCACGACCCCAGCAAGGTTCCAAAGTGGCCTCTAAACGACCAGGCAAACGCTTCAACATGGACGCTAGATGACTGCTACAAAGACCGCGCGATGGCCCCTAGGCGGCCAAAGCAGTGCCATAACGTAAATCCATGACTCCCCAAAGATCGGGCGATGCTCTCAAACCGACCCCAAAACGATACCAAGCCGCAATCAAAAGGCGGGGTGATCAACCATCCTCCGGGATTTACGGAGACCCTGTTTGTTCATGAAGGGACTTACGGCTGGCTGAACTAACGACATTTACTAGAACAGATCAGTCAAGCGGGAAGTCGAGCGGGATCCCACCCAGACCACGCAAGCAAGATATCTTGCCAGGCGTCTACAAGGGCAGGGGGGGGCTACCACCTCCTGTGCCCTCGTCCCTCTTGGGGCCGCCGTCGCGGGAAGCCCGTGCTTGCGAACAAAATGTGCATTCCCGGCGCACTGGCAAAATTCCTGAGAACTATTGCAAAGGCGATGCAGCCCCTTTGCATGAAACACCTGCCTTGACGCAAGTGGTGGCGTCTCTTTCGGCGGTCTGCGCCGCTCCACTTCCTGCAGGGATGTCGGCTTGGGGCTCTGCCGATCGCCAACACGCCACGGCACCTCCGAGAGACGCGACCGCCAGTCGGCCCACGCACTCGTCGCCCCACTCGACATCGCGCCCCCCCCCGGGCCGCCTCTTCCCGTGACGACCCCTTTGCCGTCACGACCCCGCTCGCGCTACCCCCCACACGCACGAGAAGCGGGGGGGACTGGCCGGCAGGGGGGGGCCCCGGAAGGGCGAGCGGGGGCGATCGGGCCTGCCAAGGCGGGGCGGCGGGGCCGCCCTGCAGACCCTCAGGGGGGCCGACCTGCTGGAGGGTGGGGGGGTCTGGAGGGGGGGGGGGGCCTGGGAAGGATCCCCGCTGGGGGCCCTGGGGCGATCGGCCCTGCCAGGGGGTGGCAGCCGCGCCGCACTGCAGGCCCCGGGGGGCCCTGGCCAGCCGGGGCCCGCGCTGCCTCGGCAGCGGCGCAGCCGCGGCCGCTGCGAGGCGGGAGCGCCCCCCGCGCGCGCGCCAGCGGCTGCAGCGCGCCGCCGCCTTCAGCGAGTCCTGCAGCTGCTGCAGGCGCTCCTTGTCCGCCTCCGTCAGGGCGCGCGGCACGTGCGCCTGGGCCCCAGGCTGCGAGAGGCGGCGGCAGAGTGCGAGCAGCAATGTCTTGTCCGGAAAACTCGGCCCCAAGACGGCCCAGGAGGCCCCCCAAGGGGGGCCCCAACATGGGAAAACGAACTGGCATTCCGAGCCCTCCCGCCCGAGATGACCTCCCGAGACCACCAACAAGCCCTCAGCAGGCCAGGGGATGCATCGGGCGCCGCGGCCGTTCCAGGGCGCTCAGGGCGCTCCGGAGAGTGCTCGGAGTCCTCTGTAACGATCTATTCGTATCCCTGTGCTGCTTGCCGGGCGGGGAGGGGAGCGCGCACTGGGAGGCGCACATGGCGGGGGGCCTGTGCATCCGTGCGGGGTGTCCCGTGCCTACGGTTGCCCCACAAAAGCCGCCGTGTCGCCGCACCAGTCTCCCGGAACCCGCTGTGTTTTTCAACGGCACTTCACCAGTGACGCCCATTCGATGGCTAGCTGTCGCTGGGCCGCCGAAAACCAAGTCAGCAAGGACCCAGAGGATTAATGCCGTCTCCTTGAGGGCGCCCCCTGTCAAAGCCATGACACGGACGCTACGGTCACATCCTCGAGCCAGCGTGAACAGATGCGAGAAAGGGGGGAACCGATAAACACCCGCCTACCTTGTCCCCGCTCCCGTCCCGAGCCCCACCCTCCCCTCCCCCCTTTCCCATCCAACCCGCGGAATCCGCGTTATCCCCCGCAATCCCCGCCCCACGGGGTGCCCCGATCGCACCTCCTCGCTCCACATGTGGACCTCCCACATACCTATATGACCACCCTTCGGGTGATATGGAGGTTGTGGAGGAAAGGGGCCAACAGGTGACAACTGCGATGATTGTGATGGTGACGATGCTGGTGATGCGCTCGCGAGCTGGTGACGAGGCATGATGGCGATATTGGTCGCGATGCATGGTGTACACCATGTGGACACTATCGGGACACCATCGGGACGCTATCGAGACATCATCGGGGCACCATTGGGACACCACAGGGACACCACCAGGGACACCACTGGGACACAATCGGGACACCATCGGGACATCATCGGGACACCACCAAGACACCATCGAAACACCATGTGGAGACCATCGGGGCACCATGTGGACACTCATTTTGACACCATCGGGCCACCATCGGGACACCAATGGGCACCATCGGGCAACATGTGGACACCATCGGGACGCCATGTGGACACCATTGGGACACCATCGGGGCACTAGCGGGACATCATCGAAACACCATCGTGAGGAGCACCTGAAAACACTGCGGGGCAAATCCGCCGACCTTGTCAGCATGGGTGAAGGGCTTGTCTGTTCGAGTCGTCGTGTCCGTCAGTCGTCGTCTCCGTCGTCCCTTCATCCCTGCACCCTCCTCCTCAAGCCTGTGAGGTGGGAGGAAAATCTAGCAATGCCGTATATAATCGAGTCGAAGATAAGCCCCTTCCCTTTGATCCCCTCCCCGTCAGGGGGGGGGGGGCTGGGGGGGGGGGGTAGGGAGGGGGTCAGATACGCATTCCCCCCGGAGGGTCCTGGGGCCTCAGAGTACCAAGACAGGCCACGAGTGCCACACGAGGCCCCCAAGACGGTCCAAGAGGGCACCCGATCGCCAAACGATCGGTCCAAAACGTCTTCACACACCCCAGAATGCCCATGAAACCTCCCTAACGCCCCAAGAAGCCTCCAAGAGCACTCCCGAGAGGGCTCCAAGAGGCAAAGATAATTGATGTTCCTCGGACTGTTTTTTCAAGGAATTGGGCGTTCTCGCCTTTTCTTCTTCCCCGCCGCTCCAAGACGGCCCAAGAGGCTCCCAAGATCGCCCCAAGACGGTCCAAGAGGCCTCTAAGAGGGTCCGAGGGTCCCAAAACAGCCCAATAGGACCCAAAGACAGCCCATGAAGCCCGAAGAGGCACCCAAGAGGCTCCCGAGAGGCCCCCGAGAGGCTGCCGAGAGGCCCAGATTTTCCTCCCCAGAAGCACCTGAGAGCCTTCAAGAAGCATCCCTGAGGATTCTGGCCGCCGTCAATGTCGTCGTCGTCGTCGTCGCCGCCGCCGCCGCCGTTGCCGTTGCCGTCGTCGTCCCCTTCAGGATTGGCGGCACCATCCGCAAGGCCTTCGCAATAAATAGTACCATTGGGACACCATGTGGGCATCATCTGGACACCATGTGGACACCATGTAGACACCATCGGGATACCATCGGGGCACCATCGAGACACCATATGGACACCTTCGGGACTCCAACGGGACACCACCAAGACACCATCGGAACACCAGCGGGACACTATCGGAACATCATCGGGACACCATCGGGACACCATCGGGGCACCATCGAGACACAATCGGGACCCCATCTGGACACATCGGGACACCATGTGGACGACATCGGGACACCATGTGGAAACCCATCGGGACATCATCGGGACACCATGCCGACACCATGTGGACACTATATGGACACCATGTGGACATACCGTGACACCATCGGGACACCATCGGGACACCATCGAGACACCGCGTGGACCCCATCGGAATACCATCTGACTACCTACCAGACCACCCCAACCCAACCCGAAGACGCGAATTTCGGGTTGGGGGGGGTACGGGTTCCATATGTGTTTTTTCACTGTTCCCAGACCCCCCCCACTGGAAATGGATGGCAAATCGGGGCCTTCGGGTTGGGTTGGGGTGGGTTGGTGGGTGGTGACCATCGGCACATCATCGGGACACCATTGGTACACCACCAAGATGCCATCGCAACACCGCGGGACATCATCGGAACACCACGGGACACCACGGGACACCCCGCGGCCACCGCCCGCCACGCGACCAGGAGGGCGTTCTGCCCTCGCCGCGCCCTAGCCAGAGGAGGGTTCATTCCTCTCGCCCGCCCACGCAGCTTCGCCTCGCCCGCACGCGCGACACGAACCCGAAACCGAAACCGAGTTCCCGGTGAGGGGCTCCCTGTCCCACTTCGACCTCACCCTCCGACCTATGATCACGTCCTACATCTGACGGTTGCGTCACGTCATACTGTCCTCCATTCCTCCGATGCTCTCTCCTCCTCCCTCCTCCTGACTCCCTACTCCTGCCTCCCTTCCACTTCTCATTCCGCATGCGGACCTTCCACTGCTAGAGGAGACAGAACGTCTGGTGTCCCGCCTCTGGCTGAGGCGCGGTCGGACCAATTGTTTCCTTTCCGGGGGCCGGTGCCGCGCTGTGTCCCGCCGGTGTCCCGCCGGTGTCCCGTCGGTGTCCCGATGATGATGATGATGATGATGATGATGATGATGATGATGATGATGATGATGATGATGATGATGATGCCGATGACGATGTCGGTGATGGTGATGGTGATGGTAATGATGATGCTGATGATGATGATGGTGATGGTGGTGATGATGATGGTGTCCCGATGATGATGATGATGATGATGATGATGATGATGATGATGATAATGATGATGATGATGATGATGATGGTGATGCTGTTGACGATGTTGATAACGATGATGGTGATGGTGATCATGATGGCCATGGTGGTGATGATGATGGTGTCCCGATAATGATGATGTTACTGATGATGACGGTGTCCCGATGATGGTAATGATGATGATGCTGATGATCCTGGTGATGGCGATGATGACGAGATGCTTAGATGACGATGATGTTGATGATGATGATGCTGATGAAGATGGTCCCGATGATGGTGGTGATGATGAGATTGATGAAGATGCTGTTGATGATGATGATGATGGTGATAATGTCCCGATGATGATGATGTTAATCATGATGATGACGATGATGGTGGCCCGATGATCCTGGTGATGGTGATGATGACGATGATGGCGAGGTGATGATGATGATTTTGATGATGGTTGCCCGGTGATGATGATGATGATGATGGTAATGTTGATGATGATGGTGTCCCGATGATGATGATGATGATGGTGACGACGATGATGGTGACGATGATGGTGACGTTGATGATGATGTTTTTCATGATGATGAGATGATGATGGTGATGATGATGAGTTTCCGATGCTGATGACGATGGCGTCCCGATGATGATGATGATGATGATGATGATGATGTTGATGATGATGGTGATGATGATAGTTTTCCGATGATGATCATGATGGTGATGATGATGATATTGATGATGATGGTGATGATGATGATGATGGCGTCCCGATGATGATGATGATGATGATGATGATGATGATGATGATGATGACGATGATGATGATGACGTTGGTGACGATGATGTTGCTGAGGGTGATGGCGTTGATTGTGAGATCGATTGTAAGATCGATAGTGAGAGCGACTGCGAGATCGATTGTGAGATCGAGAGTGGGATCGATAGTGAGATCGATTGTGAGATCGAAAGTCAGATCGAGTGTGAGATCGATCGAATGAAATATATCGAGTGAGATCGATTGTGAGATCGATCGAGTGAGATCGATCGAGCGAGACCGATAGTGAGATCGATAGTGAGATCGATAGTGAGATCGATTGAGTGAGACGTTGGTTCCTCCCCCCCGAACCTCCTTATCACCCGAAGGATGGTCGTATAGGTATCTATATATATATATATGTATGTACCCGTCTCTCTCTCTCTCTCTTTCTCCTCATCCCTGCTCCTGGCTCCCTCCTCCTGCCTCCCTCCTCCTCGCTCCACTTGCGGACCTGCCAACCCTACAGGACGCGTACCACGTCTTACAGTCCTCCCTCCCTCTGCCCCTCTCTCCTCCTCCATCCCTCTGCCCCTCTCTCCTACTCCCTCCCTCATCCTTCTCGCTCCACCTCCTCCTCCTCCTCCTCCTCCTCCTCCTCCTCCTCCTCCCTCCATCAATCCTTCATGCCTGATGCTGAAGGCACTGGCACCATCATTGCTTCCATGCGTGACGTAAGCGAGGTCATCCTAATACGGCTCCCTGGGCGAGGGAAGCAACGGAGAGGCGAGAAGCGGTCAACACTCAGCCGTGGCAACCCAA